AACGAGAGCATCAAGGTCAAATTGATCATAAGTCTCCCCAGGAGACAAGTAGAGAGAACAAACAGTGATGGTATGACCTAAGGAAACATGGATGGCTACGACCTCCAAGGATGTATCGAGGGACACAGATAAGGAGGGCACATGCTGGTCGACCAGCAATGCGACCCCTCCATCCCACAACCTGTCATTCCAGTACAAAGAAAACTGCCAAAAGGTGACTGTATTGGCAGGTTTCAGAAATGTTTCTTGTAAGAAGAGACACATGGTATGATAGGAGTTGATCAAGGCCTTAATGTCATCCAGATTAGAACGAAAACCTTGACAGTTCCACTGTATCAAAGTGGCCATTTTTTATCTAGGTGGAGGAGAACAGAGTGGAGAACCCTTCGGTTTACGACCATGCCATTTTTCTTTACTAGATGAAGGTCGATCGACATCCATGGATCCTGCCCTTGATTGAGTGGGCAGATCTCTGTCATCAGAGTGAGAATACAATGACTGAGGATGTGATCGAGTGACTGTCCTGCATCTAGGGGCCAAAGAAGGACTCGAGCAGACACTGATGACCCAGGCAGTCCCTAGAAGGAATAGTGGGGACAGAGATTGGAGTAGATGTAGACCAGTCAACTCTATTATCCATGGAGGGCAGAAGACCCCTCACAAGGCATGAAAAAGACTCAGATGGAAGGTCAGAAAGGTCCATCTGCACCCCCATTGTAGGAGTAGGGAACAATAGCTTCCGAGCCTCAGGGTAAGAAATGTTATTAACAGTCTTCAAATGCTGTACCTCTTTCTCCTACACCTACTTAGAGCAAGACTTAAAGTAAGAGGGGTGGGAACCACTACAATTAACACAGTGAGGGTCCAATTCACACTCGTAAGCATCGTGGTCCTTGCCACCACAACGAGCACACATCACAGAACCATGACAAAATGTCTTTGAATAACCGAACTGCTGGCACAGAAAACATCGGAGAGGGTTAGAAATATACAGCTGTACCTTACAGTTCAAATAACCTGCCTTAACAGGAAGTGAGGTACAGGTCTACATTGGGGTGGAGACTGTTGTTCAGAGTATTCTAGGTGTCGTCGTTTACCAATTAGCAGAGTTTTTAAATTTTTTTATTTGGATTTGGGGGATCCATAAGAAAAGAGAAAGATTCAGTACTCACTGACCCCACCCACCATGGAGTCTTACAAGGGAATGCACTACAATGTCAAACAAGGACACTGCAGCAATGCCAGGGTTTCATGAGTACTATACCAAAAAACCAGAATTAGACACAATGTCCACAACACCCATAGAAACACTCAATTGACCCTAGCCCGATTGGACCAGCCGATTGACCCTGGGGGCCACCCATCTTCAGAAATTCAAGGCCAAAGTGGTGTGTTGCAGTGCCCCAGACACCACTCAACCACCAGAATCCTCTCCTCCTCTTCAAAGGTCGCCACGCACGGTAAACACATGGATGGATGTTTAGATCCCAGAGGAAGTAACTAAAAATACAGAACCTTCCCTGGGAGGTCCCCTCACCATGTACAGGAATCCTCGTTGAGGTGTGGTAGTTGAGTGTTCCAATTAGTGACAAAGTATCGATCATCAGTATCCCAAACCAAGAGCAAATCTAATGAAAAACCCCATAATGAAGCATCCATTCTATAGGGAAAATCTGGTAGGACCGAGACAATTGATCTGCCACCAAAGTCATCACCGAACACTGCATTTTAGTAGGATGACATGATGGGAGTTGGCCCAATATAGAAGATCCAAGGTTCAAAAACAAAGGGACCTTGACCAAAAGCCCTTTGAAGGGAAACGTAAGATACCATCTTAGAATTGTAGGAGTTTGAAGCATGACGACTTTGCCTCTCAATAATTCCAGATCTTGAGACATCGCCCATTGAACAGCAAGAAGTTCTAAAACATTGATGTGAAGGAAGGCCTCATTTTCCATCCATAGGCCGTGGAATTCCTGACTGTTCAGATATATACCCCATTCCTGAAGCGAGGCATCCATGAAAAGATGGAGCTCAGGATGAAGTGGCAGCAGAGGAACGCCAATCATAGTATTGTTCTGATCTAACCACCACTCAAGATCAAAGATGTTGATCCTGAACAAGGACCTGGAGACTCCAGTGGATCACTGTTCATGATCCATTAGTCATGTAGAGAACACTGATGAGATTTCATGTAAGCTCATCCCAAAGGAATGAGATACATGTTAGAGTACGAATAGATTTCTCGGTTCTGATAATAAAGCCTGCCTGGGTTGTTTTGGAAAGCAGTAACTGGGTATGACTTCTGCCAACTGATGAGGTGGCGTCAACAGTAGCCAGATGTCCATGGAATGGTGTGTGCACAGGCCCAGGGAATGGAGGTGATGAGAAAAGGTTCATATGATTCAGCCAAACACATATGAAGCTGATGCTTGACCAAAGGGCAAAGCCCTGAACTGCAGTACCAGATTCTTGTGCACAAAATGCAGATAGTGGTGGGACAACTCTGCTATGGGAATGTGCAGTAGGCATAGGTAACATCAAACATGGTCATCCACAGTCTTGGCAAAAAAATGCCAATGCAGAGTGAGGAATGATTCCATTGTGAACTTTGGAGGGTCTAGGAATTGATTTAGACGAGAAAGACTGATGACTTGATGCCAATTTCCTGTATTCTTGGACATAACAAACAGACAGGAATAAAACCCATGAAGAACTGGAATGACTCTCTCCACTGCTCCCATTGACCAACAAATCTCCGATAGCCGTGGGACAAAGTCCTGAAATTCGAGAATCTACGGGAGGTGGAAACACTACAGTTTCATGGGGAGGATAATGGTGGTGGAGATGTAAACTGAATGACCAATCCTGATGCAAGGACCTGTAGTATCCATGAATCCATGGTAAAGGATTCCACAAATCCAGAAACTCTTGGAGCCTAGCCCCCCCAGACCCCCTGGGCATACGGTAGTCACCACTGCCACTAGCAGTGTTACGACCAAGCGGAGGAACTTTGTGGATATGGGAGGAATCCACTCTGGGTACTCATAGACTGAGGGGCTGATGTCTGGGGTCAGGACACTCGAATGCCCACAAATGCAGCCTCAAAGCCCCCAGAGAAACACCACCAGACCGAAGTTATGTCTCCATCTCATGGACAGCCTCAATTGAGAGAAACTCTCCCTAATTCGTGAGCAACACTAGATATCAGAGGTGGGATAGGAGAGACTTGATTTGCTTCCTTGCTTGATACATTAATTCGGTAATGCATGCCGTAAATTGGGTTGTCAAACAAAAAAATTTTTTAGTTTTACAAAATCAAACACTCAGAGTATCTCCAATGGTCATACTACAAAGAAACAAAGAAAAAAAACAAAACAGACCACTGCTTAAATGGTCAAAGGTAAAAAACCATAGCAGTCAAGTAATAGCTGTAGTGTGAGAGGAGGTATGTTTTAGAATTACATTTACTTCTCTATTTAGTGTTTTCTGGTCATGGATATTGCCCTGAAAAAGTGATGACGACCTTGATAAAGGTCACATGCTTGGATGGCAATATTTCCATGACCAAATAGAGCATCTAAAATTTTCTTAATGTATTCTCCATATCTTACACTAATATATAATCCACATAAGTGTCATAGACTCAAATAAAATTGTGTAATAAATCAATTTTGACGAGTTAAAGAAAAGGTGCTTTTCTCACAAACTGACCAATAAAAATTTATAAAAGTCAATAAGTAACTTCTTTAAATTGAAATTGTTGCCTAGTAAAGATACTAAAGCCAATTAACTATTTTTAAAACTTAACTTATTTAAGAAAAGCTAAATTTATTTTCACAGCCACATTATCTGAAATAAGAAATGACTAAACAAATACAGTTAGAGCCAAGCCTGTTAAACAAATGATTTGAATCGTTACTAATACTTAAATTCACTTTTCATACATAAAATTAAATACATAATCATTCTAATATTCTACTTCATTATTAATTCATGACCTCTGTTACATGCATGATTTCAATTGCGTCAACAATTACTTTCTTATGCATTTGTTCTACTTTGTTCAAATATTTTTAACAAGATCTGCAAATGAAAAATTAAAGTACTGTATTGACCATTATTGTAAATAATTGTGATTGTATAGTATACATTAAAAATAACTGATTGGATTTTAGAAAACATAATGTTTGTACTAACTATGCTTCAAGGTTACTCTTTCGTAGGCAGGAAACTTGGATGTGCCATCTGCTGTAAATTTAAAGAGGAAAAATTAATGCATAAAATCTTCTAAACAATTTTCTAGCACACAAATATTAAATTTATACTTTAAAGCTAAATAAAATGTAAAAACATTTGAAAGTGACAGTTTAATTATATTAAAAATTATAAAGAACTTTAAAATAAAAATATAAGTATACACAAGCATAAAGAGTTTATATCAGATGTATCAAATTGAGGCTCATGGGTTGATTTTCTACAGCTAAGGAACTTACTGCTAAGCTGTTTGTTTGTTTGTAATTAAGCACAAAGCTGCACAGTGGGCTACCTGAGCTTTGCCCACCATGTATATCGAAATGAAACCCAGTTTCTAGCATTGTAAGTCCAAAGGCATCCCATTGTGCCATTGGGGGAGGGGGGGGGGCTTTACTGCTAAGACTAATGTTATATTGAAATATTTCTAAATGCTATTTTTAAAACAAATGTATTTCAATTAATTATACGGAAGAGCTTTGAGCATTTAGATCAAAAAACAATACTATGCAAGAATCAAATAAATAAAACTAAAAACAGTCAACATGCTTTAAGTGATCCAGTCAGTCATCATCAAAACATTTATCTCTACTCAAATTACCATATTCATTAGTACATGTAATCTACATTGTCACTCATTTTGGACATGCCATTTAGTTTATAGGAAGAAAAAAAGGAATGACATACTGGATATAACTCAGATCTTGTGTCATTATTTAATAAATTATCCTTTTGTTCAGGTATTTCAATACTTTCACTAACATTTATTTGACAAAAAAAAAACCTGATTCGGCTATAATTCTTATTTGATCCCATAGAATAGAATGATAAATTTCAATAACCACAGTTGATTTTGTGCATTCCTCTTCATTCAGGAATGTATGATGTTTTGTTTTTCTTACAGTTAAAGAACATTTATTTGTCCAATTCATGATTTCTTACATGAACAGAATTTCATGTTGAATTTATTGACACAATTCAAGTTTTATTTTGTTTGGTTTTCTCACAAAAATCATCTATTAATTTTAAAAGGAGAACCAATGCCTCAATCTAGGCTTTTTTTCATTTATTCCTTTAATTTATACTGTACAGAACTTCTTTTCTATTATTGTTAGTTTTAAATATACTTTAAAAGTTTTTATCATCTGAATGGGGCTGATACTTTTGATGAGCCTAATTGTTTTTTGACAAATCAAATTTCAAAATTAACCAATGCCACTGCTGTGAACACAAACTACCCTTTAAGCACGAAAATATTATTTTTTTGTTTGGTGAAAAACTTCATTTGATTATTACTTGGCCATGTGATAAGATAAGAAGGTTATTGACAACTATATTCCAAAGATGTGGGTATTTGTTTGACATGCCCAATCAGTTTTTTTTCCACATATAACTTGGTAATGTAAGTACTCCATTTTTGAGCAATTTACTGTCCATTTAGCATATCAGACAAAACAACCTGAAGCTATTCTTCTTTGTTAAGTATTTTTTTTAAACTCACACTGTGAGTTGAAAACATAAGATCATATAATCTTTGTCATTTCCTTCCAAGTTTTACTTTTACTTCAGTAGAAGTTTTTGATTTCCTGACTGAGGCCCTTTATTGTTTTTTAGGTAGATAAAAATATACACAACTATATATATATATATATGCACCAACTTAAGCTATATATATGTGTATACACTAATTTTAGGAACAAAGCTTTTCTCCATAGAAAGAGAATTTATTTATTTTTGTAGAGAGAAAGACCGTATTCTTTAAAATAGTATTTATTTATCATCAAAGGTTTGGTCAGGTTGATTTGACCACATTTCTACTTCCTTCTGATGTGAATATATACATATGTTTCAATATAGCATGATACAGATTCATAATCTTATTCACCAATCCAGCAGTGAAAAGTTAAACTTTTTTTAACAAACACATGACACATTGCTTAAATAATGTTTTTTTTTTTCACTTGTTTGAATATTAGACTTACCGAACATCACTTCTTCCCAATGATCCTTGCTTAAGGACTTGGAACGTCTTGCACCTTTTCTTTTAAAGAAACTACCTCGACTTTCAACAGCGGAGTCTTTCTTTTGCTGATTCTGCTGCTGTTGAGCCAACTTCTCTGCTCTGGTATATTTGAAATTAGGTTTTCAGAAATGAAAAAAAATAAACAGCCAAACTTTACTAGGTGCAACTTATAATAACTATAAGTCAGAATCAGATGTTTCTGTTCATTAGTCTCAAATCTTAGTAAATGTGATGCATAAAGTGGTCATGAACTAACGAGTCAACATTTTTCATCTTTTCTCAAGTTTTAATAATAACATACATAAAATTATATGGATGAGGAGGCCACCATCTTTTAAGAGCTGTTATATTGTTTTTTATAACATAATTTGAAATTAAATAAAAAAAAATCTCAGTTAACATTCCATCAGACGATATATAATTAGCTATACATAATGAGTATGACTGTATATTGTTGAAATAAATTCAAGTAAAGAGGACTTACCTGCTACTGTTAGGAAGAACACCTTTCTGGACTTCATGATTGTTGTGATCTAGTCTGTAACCTAGCCAGGAACCCACAACTCCCTTGTATAAGGTATCAACAATGTGAAATATTTCTCCAATTGGGAAACTCATTTCTCCACTTTCATGACTCTCAAGGCAGAAATGTGTTCTGTGCAAGAAATAGTTTAATGCTTTGAAATAACTAGAGACACGACATAAACTTTTTTCACTCTTTCTTTGGAGCTGTAAAATCTGTCCAGCAACTAATAAGCAAAATCAATGAAGAACTCAGCTAGTTGTGATAAGCTTAATTTGTTCTTAATTATAATGTATGTTATGATTTGAATTTTTATATTATCTAAGTTATAATTCCTTTTTCATGGCAAACTTTTTAAAAAATACTTATACTGCTGTTTTCATGTTATGTGATCCACGTGCTATGAAAAATCTCGACTTTATCAGTGGTTTACTCTTAGCCACATAAGCTGGCAATGTATGAGTATATAAATGCTGAGTACATGTGGTTGGTCTACTTGGCACATGATATTCAATGTCTCTAGCTGGTTTGTCTGGGAAATATATAAATTTTCCAAATCTTGATGAGTGCCACGTCTACCTTCTATACTTTGCCTTTAGATCTACAACATACATGTAGTTAGTAGACACAAGTGTATATCGTTGGTAGAAAGAGCTCAGTTTACAATATACTACACCAATGGTTATCTAAAATTGGCATGCAGTTTTCCTCACAGTGTACATGTAACTGCCATTAGTGTTGTTGTCTGCTTGATCAACTATAGCACTTATGGTGGTTTCTTACCTAAATATGCTACTTAGAGAGACAGTTTAACTGTATTTAGGTATCATTTGAGTTTTAAAAATCATATTTGAAAGGTTTAATGATTTTTACAAGTTTAACTTGTTGTTGCCTGGATTATGAAAGTGTATAACCAAAATGGTGTTATTTGCATGTGCACAGTGTTAGTGAAATAAGTCTCTATAAGGGAATCGCCATATAATAATAATAAATTCCCATGGACACAAGTTAACATATAGGCAAAGAATTGGAGAGGAAAAGGGAAAAATAAATTATAAGTGAAAAGATAAAGATGTGAAATTATGCATAATAAAAAAATCAAGTTTCTAAAGACTTCTATGAAGAGCTAAAAGGTATGTACATATTTCCATTTCTTAATTTCAAAAATTTCATTGCAGTGTACATTGATGATAAATAGGTAGAGTTAGTGATATAGTAGAGAAAATGGAAAATAAAATATAACTATTGACCTTAAAAACTTTGATATTTCTTGTCAAATTCTAAACAATTTCATGGACCAGTTTTATTTTTGGAACAAAATATAATGAGAGTGACGTTAGCTTCCAAGAATTGTGGCAGCTGGGACTAATAGGGTTAAATTACAAAATAGTAGTTTTCATATGGTATAAAGCTCAAAAGAAAACCATTACTTATCATGTACTTAAGTAAGTCCTCTAAACACACCATCAATTCAAGCTATATGGATTCTGAGACAGTAGTAACAGCATAACCGAGAATTAGAGGTTTTGGGATGGAGGAGAGGCAAATCACAAAAGGACACTAAAGAACCAGTTCAGTTTGTGATTTTAGAAATTTTCATGCAAAGAGCACTATTAAATTTTAAAGTTTTCATTTGCAATCTTTGCTTAAATGAGTTTACTTTAAATTAACTAATTTATAATGGTTGATTCAGATGTCCATTAACAGGCAAATAATTTGGAAATGGGAAGGTATAGAAAAATATTGTTAGTGGTACATTATGAGTTGTTGAAGACCTCCCTTTGACAATATCATTGAGATCATTCAGGGTAATCCCTTCGGAAATTTTATTAATATGGATTATATACTCAAAATATCAATGGCAAGGATATAGACAAAAACATTTTGAATAAAAAATTACCAAAACTGCTCTTCATGAACAACAGTTATAAGCATAACTGAACCCCTTTCATGCATATGGAGTGCGCCAAAAACAATCAAAATCTGACTATAACAAAGACTGTTACATAAAGCTAGGGTCCAAAAGGTTAAGAGTATTAAAATAAAAGCCCCTACATAATATAGAACCCAAGCATTGTACTGCAGCAAAGTATTCAGTTGAAGAACAGTGTAGTAAGGTCCTACTGTACAGAGAGTGTCACCAGAATGTCTGGGCTGCTGAAAAATTGTATGCTGAATGCTTCACAGCTTAGCATCATCCTTTACACCAGATGCCATGAAATGCATGTCAGTGGCTGCATATTACAGGCCTACCTAGACATAGAACACTGTGCAGGCAGGTCAACAGCAGCAATCAATATAGATCATGAAGCTGCCATAATAACATATCTGACATATGAGCAGTACTTTGAACACAGGTATTAACTGTCTGACACCATTTTAAAATACTATTGGGATGTTTACCTTATCTGCATATATGGCAATAAATGTTGTTGTGAAACAATTTTGGTAATTTTTGGTTTAAAAAGTTTCACTTGTTATTGTTTTCACCTTTTAAAATTGTCAATTTTAATGTATTATGCTTATTAATAACAGATTCAAAGGACGTGACCTTGAAGGTGTCACTTCATTCCATACTGCTAACAATTTGTTTCCTAAATCTCTTAATTTCTGAATTATTTGTCTGTTAAAGGACTTCTGAATCACCCAGTTTACATGTTTGATTCCTAAATAGTATTTCATGAAAATAAGAAATATAGTTGATAAACTATAATACACACTCACAATTTCTGTTTAATTTGAATCTCTATGATCAAATTGACAGAGTAACTGTAAAATATACGTTAATTTTCGATCTACAAAAATTGTTTTATGCTATTATGAATTTATGGTTAGAAAAATGTCTTAATCAAATTAAACTAGTTTTTGTGAAAGATATCAAACTAGTTTTTGCAAAAGATGTGCATAAATTCCTGTGTTTTTACAAACCATAGTGGTTTAAGTCAATCTATTACTTTGATATATAAGGTGCATTATCAAATGTACTATAGGTTGACATTTTCTTATGTTACTTTTCTTATAGCTAAGCATTATTAGGTGCCAAATTGTATCTTGAGTAGATATTAAAAAGTATGTACTGAAATTTTTGAAAGTTTATACTGAACAATACCATGGAAACAATTGTGTTTTATACAATATTTTGTTTACAATTATTATTATTAATACTTGATCAGAAATAGTTGCTGCCAAGTTAAAGAGAAATTTACAAATCCTTAAACTTGTACTTCACTCTCCCACTACAAGATGGGTGAAATGCAAAGTATGAAAGATATTCAGTATCATAATACATAACAAAGTTATCATATTTATAGACTGGGCTGATCTACAAACAATCATAACCACTGTGAGAGGACTAACCTGAAGATTTCATAATTAATTTCTGAGCCCAGGATAAACAAATAATTGTTTCCTGGGTTCTCAAATCAATAATAAAAATAGTGCAATTTGACAAAAACAAATAAAATTGCTGATTTTTCTTTATATTCCTTCTTAAATCTATCTTGTATCCTTCTCAGCTAACATCCAGGAATATAGTATTTTAGCTACCAGTTAAAAACTATGATGTTCTATGATGAACTAGGAAGCTAACAAGATAAAAATTGGTAACTAAAAACACATGCTTTTCAGCAAACAATAGTTAGTTTCCAATCCTTATTCATTGAATTAATCACATGAATGTTCAACACTATAATGTTTTCTTCCTGTACAATTTTGCTTGCTAGGGTTCTTAAAAACTTAATACTTGTTTTTATTGGAAATATTACATTCTTTTTAAAACAAATTAACTTTAGTATTTAATTTAATGTTCCTTCCTGAAAATCTGCTATATTTTATTTCAAAAATTACTAAATTCTTCAATATACATTTTTCAAACTGTAAAGTTGATGAAACCTGTTAATGAAAAAAAAATAAAAAAAAATGAGATAACTAACCTGATATAAAAAGAATCCCCCCTTTGGGTGGCTACTATTTCATCATACTCTGGAAATAAAAGAATCACAAACATTATAAACGTTTTACACAAAAACATTTGATTGAAAGTATTTCAAATCCTTTTGCTAATATAAGTTCATGAATAGTTGTTATGCCAATAGAACAGTTTTGTTCCAATTTTTATATCTAGAAGTACAAATAGTTATCAAATAATAGGGAAAGTATGCTGTGTAATATTCTACACATAAAAGGGTATAGAATTTCTAGGAAAAGAAACAAGTACAAATGTTAGCCAAAGTCGGTTATTTTAGTTCTAATTTATGAAAATGTCATTTGAAGACAAAAAACATGAAATGTTGAAGAATAACAATTATGCATATGATTAGCATACCAAATGTAAAATATGTAATATACACATAAATTCACAAATTTCTTTTGTACCTTCCTTCCTGTGTTGAACAATTAATTCAACATGATCTTGTGAATTCATCAAAAGCATTACTGCTTCTTCCCTTGTAACCCCTTTCATGTCTTTATTATTTACCTGCAGTATTTAGAAAACAGAAAATAACACCTTTGTATTTTTTGTTACCAATATCAAAATAATCAGTTCTGTTTGTATAATTACAAAATATGTTATTCTGAAAGGGCAAACCATATTTTAAAGATGCATATAAAATATAATTAACAAAATCCAATATCAACCAATCTCTTCTAAATTACATATCATAATATTCTTATAACTCTGAAACTGAATAATCAAATACTATGTTTGGAACCTAGTTAAAATATAATATAAACTAAACAAGAGGTTTAAATAAATTACACTTGTTTTAATTTAAGGTTAACACATTAGTTTTGTGTAAAAAATTACTTTATAATCGAAATAACACTAAAGTTGCTGCCTAATCATGGCTTTGAGAATTTTTTAAAATTTTAATATGTTTTAAGGAGATGTTTAGAACATATCACTAAAATTATCTATAAATACCTTAAGTACTTTATCACCCGGCTGAAGACCTTGTAATGAAGCCGGACTGCCTGGCTGGACTGAAGTAACAAAAATTCCAGCTTCATTGCCTCCTGTTAACCTAATACCAACACTTCCATCTTTTTGAAAGGAAACAAGTCTGGGGTCAGGCCTATTAATGGTTCAAATGTAAATAATTTACATTTGGAGTGTCTTTGGTACTCAATAACAAATACTACTACACCTTGAAAAAATAAAAATGAGCAAAAACAAGAGTTAAAACTTCTGTAAAAATTACCACCACTTAAAATGTTTTGTCTAATTTTAATTTCATCATTGACTTGTGTAAATAAATTACAACAAAGAAGGTCATCTGACACCAGCACCACTCTTCCAGGGGGTAAATGCAAAACAAGTTATAACTACAGATTTGGCCTACATAAGAGTTATCAAAAATAAATACTTACACAGCATTCCTATTTCTTCTTGAAGAAATCTCTTTATCACTGTGATCTTTCCTTGAGTTGGCAGCCAGTTCTACAAGTAGATATTACATTAGTATTTTATACCATAGTTTTTTAAAAGTACAAAAGCTTTGAATAAATGAGGAAAATAAACATGGGTAAATTACATATGTTACTCCTCACAAATTTCCTGAAAAGTTAATGTGTCTGTTAAAAATCATGTACAAATTAACACAGCAAATAAACTAAGTTCAAAAATGGAAACATATTGACTTTATGTAATAGTAAGATTCATTTTATAGTGATAACAGAAAACAAAGAGAGAAAGTTGAAAATAAGCAATTAGTGTGATCAAGAATCTCAGAGTATCATATTTCACAGTTTGAAAGTTTCTATTAAAAAGTATAAGCTGATTTTAAAAACAGAAATATTTATAATAATGAGTGTTAGAGTGCACTTAAAACAATTACATTACAACTTTTTAAGAAAGTGTTTTAAGACAAAAATAACAAACTGTGGTTTATCAGATGAAATTATACATCTCAGTTTTGAAAGCCTAATACAAAATAAAAGAAACAAAGTTTTTGTTTAATAACCAAAATTGTGCAATTTAAAGAAAATTTATTATAAGGTCCAAAGTATTCTTAGGTTCATCATAAGTCACTGAAAGTTATTTGAAAATCCATAGGAATGGTGAACGTCCTCCACTGAATCCCAAGAAAATCTGCATGTATGGAAATATTCCAAAAGAGTGGACACCTGTAAGACTACCAAATGTAACATAAAAGGTAAAACTACTTGAGCTTTAAGTTCAGTACTATCAGATATGCTACAGTAAGGCACAACAAGTCTAACTTTGCCATACTAAATGTTGAAGTAACTCCTAAGACTAATCAGATACTAAGATTAATAAAACTGAAATACTGAAAATATTAAAGTTCCAATAACAAACTTAGTGATTTTCCTCAAATAAGAAGAAAGATTTAATCAACCATCCACAGACTCTACTACCATTAAGGAAGTTGTATTAATGTGGGAACAAGAGATATTTTGGTTAAGTTTAACAGTTTTATTAAATGATTAGAAGCTCAATATCTAAATGGACCATGCAAGGAAATTTCATTACTGAATTCTTATTTTTAAAATGTTGGAAAATAACTTTACCATCTACTCGAGGTAGAGGTGGTCTTGGAGAAGGTTCATCTCCTTCTGTTGTCAGCAAACCTCTAGAGTGACCATGGCCAGTCAAAAGTGGAGTTGCAGGCTGATCTAGATGACTAAGAGAAATTCCCATCAATGGACCCCGATTTCGGCCACTTTGCACTCTGTGATTGAATTACGTAAGAAAAAAGTATGAGATTACCTAAGAAACAATTAGTGTAGTAACTACTTCTTAATCACTATCCAAACTTTCAATAACAAATAATTTTCCCAGAAATCATGATTTTCGTTACATTTTTTGTTTAAATCAGTCTCTAGTTTTTTCAAGTTTTCAAACTGTGAAATTTTAGTTTCTATGAAGATTTAGAAATATATAAAAGGATGAACAGTCTACCTTCAATGTTCAGAACATTTTTCAAGGTAGATGATACGTAGTTCAAAATGGATAATAATTATAAAAGGACAATACATAGCACTTAAACGTCATAATTCTAAAAACCCATGAAAGCAAAACAGAAAATGAAACAGCATATCAACTACACTATGTCTGCCATATGTCGTGCTGACAAGGTCTTTTGTCCATTACTGGGGCTCATCAGCTCAGTCAGGATACGACAGAAATAGTAGTGGTATAGGCTAGAGTTTCTCAAACTTTGACAACCCAAGAGCCCTTTTAATTTTGATTTTTTTGTGGACTTATCAGTTTTTCTGTTTTGAAAAAAAATATTCCACATATATAAAAAGCTGTATTCCAAAATTAAATGTTTGAATTCATATAAATGTAAATTTAGGAAAACTATTTTTTTTATTCTATAAGTTATATTTTCTAAATATTTTCATAAAATTTTGGGTATGATTTGCAGACCCCCTGGAGTGCCCTTGCATACCTCATTTTTAAGAAATGCTGGCTTAGAAAATATATATCACTAATTTTCATGTACAACAACTATTAGGGTATGAATTAAATTAAGCAAGTGAACTGTGATTATTATCAACTATATTTAAGCCATTCACGAATTAGGTTATCAGGTAATAATGAATAACACAACTTGTTCATTTCATTTCAATAATGTTTATATATTTAATTTATTTACACCTAGCAGCATATGCACTCTCAAAAAATATAAACTGTAAGATACAAGATGTTTATTATTATTATTTGAAATAACTAACTCAATAAGAGTGTCAGTTTAAATTTCTAAATAATCAAAAGGTTAAAGTTTAAAACTAAACTTAGCTGTACATAGGACTCTCTTGTACTATTACTTTTCTTTACTAAACACTAAAAATACTGAAAATTAGCCAAGAATAAACACAACTGCCAATAAAAAAAATTTTTGAAAAATTGTTAGTTTATTTCTGGGTAATGTATGAATTTTTACCATTTGTGTGTATGAGCTGAAGTTGGATAAAAAATAAAAATCAAAGTTTGGAAAAAAAACAACAATAACAACAAAACAAAAATACAAAATTACTATTCTTACTTGGTAAGATTATTCTTAGACTCTGATTGGTCAGATAGCAGAGGTGGCCTTAGATCCCCTGAAATATATTATGTGAAAATTATTTTTTGGAACAAACATAGGTGTTTCTTTAGGTTACGAAAGCTTCATTTTAACATTTGAATGTCTTATAACACCCTAACCACATATATTTTGTACTTATGTATCACGTAAACATTTTTTTATCATCACTGAAATTTAAAATTTAAAGCAGTAAATTTTATTTTCACTCTTCCTTATTTGTAAGTTGTATATAATTTAGAAAGATATTGTAAAATTGCATTATTTTTAAGAAGTTTGGTGACATTGCCCATTTTTAGAATTTTAATCATAGGTGGTGAAATAATCTTTAAACATATCAGTATAGTGACCAAAAATTTGAAAATAAAAGAAATGACTGTAAATTAATATCACCAATGATAAAATGTTTAATGTCTTCAGAACATTAACAAGAGTTCACATTAGGAACACAAGAAAAAAGTAACAAGAACATTCTATCTGTTGCAGCATACTATAAAGAGACTTTTGGCACCAAAAAGCTAAAACTACCAAAATATTAGCAGGCAATCAAAACTGTGAAACTACTTGCATAAAGCAAGCTATTAGAGCTATGAATATAATATAGGCAAAATAGCAACCTAACTATTCAAATTGTTAAAGAACTAACCTCGGGTGGGAGTTTGTACATATAAGTTCTGATTACTCCACTGAGGTCTTGTACTTGAAACATCAATAAAATTGGTTGGAGAGGTTTCTGAAAGTTACAAAACAGCGTCTATAATGACAAATTAAGGAGCTATTTAAAACCAAAACTAGACATTTTTTTATGGCAAATACAAAACTTCTGTTATAGATACCAAGTGCTTGAAACCTAAAATTAATAGAAGCTAATTTCATGACACATCTGCAATCTACAGTGATATTGATAAAATAACATATTAATTACCATTTGAATTACCTGTTTGCAAAAACTATCACAAATATTACTCTAGAGAATTCAATAACTAATGATTTATGAGATGTTTATCTATATAATTATATTACTTAAAAACAACATGTTTTTGTTTAACATCAACCACCACCCTTCAGATGTTCACAAGCAATTGGAAAAACATTTCTTTATTCTTACCCTTATTCAGTCTTGCTCCAATCTCCTGTAAATTATTATTATTAGTTACAGTCTTTATGTTTTCTCTTCTTACAACAAGTTGTAATTTTTCTTTGGCAGCATCTAAGAATTTTTTTGCATCTTTAAGACTGATATTTTCTGTATTGTTGTTGTTGATCTGAAAAAATAAAATCAAGTCTTCAAGCAAACTTTAATACAGACATATTAATATATTACATACTGAGAGTTAAATGCCACTGTTGGTAAGTTGTTTCTTGTCTGTTCCAAGGTAGTGTCCAAATTGTATCAAATAAAATGGTAGTTGAACAGTGACTGTGAAAATTATCAACATTTGTGATGTTTCATTCTTGAGTTTAAATTTGGCATGCCACTTTTCTAATATACTAGATTACTATCACTTTAGCCTCCTATGATTCACTTACCTTGACAATGATATCGCCTTCGTGAAGGGTACCATCTTTGTTTGATGGGAGTCGTTTAGTGAGTTCCTTAATGTAGATTTTGCATCCCAACACAATACCAAAATCTGCTCAAAAACAAATTAGTGCAATTAAAAAAATTACCATCTTCTTCAAAATTATCACAATTTTTCATAACAAATTTCATTTAATGTACAGATAGTTAGTTTCACTATGGAAAAGAGGAAGTTGAGAAATAGACATTCAGACATGGATCAATAATATAAACCTAACAACAGTACAATATCCAATCCTTTCTGTCTGTCATATATTTGGAAAAAGAATTATTTCTACGGTATGTATTTGTCAAATAATTTTAACTTAAAAGAAAGAAACTAATCTTAACTTTATTTTGTTTTTGCATATAATACTAATTACACATTAAATATAAAAGTAGACAACACATTAAAAAAACTTTTTTATAACTTGATGGCAACGAATGCAAGTGAATAACGTGGATTTCATAAATATTAACAAACCCTTCTAAAATACATATCATTCATATATTTTTCATGTAATGAAGATTTAAAAACAAAATAGTAAACAATGTAATTATGTTACATAAATACTACTTGGTCTGTTCTAAAAGCTATGCATACACAAGGCCAGCATAAATGAGGAAATATGTTATAAGACACAATGTTTCCTCTTGTATGGTGGCAGTTTGCATGTTTCCAGAAACATGTCCCAGAGTAGACCTGGCTTCTACTTTGAGAAACATTTTGAGGAAACACTATGCTTTTGACCAATTAGAAGAGACTTGTAACTAGATAGTGATTTCAACAGAAGATGGAATGCTTTGGAATTTGGTGCAGTTAATAATTTTCTTGAATAGTACACAGAAAGACCGTGTTTATTTAACATAAGAAACAAGGACTACTACAATCAAAACCTGAAAAAGGGAGCATGCAAATTATGAAGTGATAAAATTATGATATGCTCCTTTCTTTTTGGGAATTTAGGATTGATTCCCTTGTCCACATAGCTCTGTTTCTGCAATTCCTCCTTCTTTTGTGAAGTTTTAATGCAATTAGAAGTGAGAATCACTCAGTTCAATAAAGGTTTCATCCATTTTCAAGCAAGTGAAAGGAATGATGACATGTCACTTAAAAACGTTTCCAGACAATGTTTGAAAGAATATGTTTGAGGAAACATTTTCTCTGAAAAAAAAATGTTTCCTCTTGTATGATGGCCTTAATTAGTTATTGAACACAAAATATATAGGAAAAAAATGATAAAATTAATAATTATTTGAGATTAGAAAAACCTCAAAGGAAACTAAATATAAAATGTAATGAGATAAGAAGTTAAAATTAGTTTAAATTCACTTATAACTTCATCTTTTGTAGAATTCATAATGTACAATTTACTACCTTATGACACTTAGTCAAATTATTGTATTAAAAACTGAACTGGAGCCAGTGAGATTCAGATGTATAAATTTGAAGAAAATAGTGAACAACAAAAACCTAGATACCAAGAGATTTATGGTAAATAATCATGGTATCATTTTTGTCTTGAATTAAAAAGTGAAGAATAACAGAATATGATGACGGAAAAAAAGCTCATAATCACTGAACTAATTTTAGTAGAGTTAAGAAACAGTTTTAATTGAATGACATAACCTCACTTATTAAAAAAAAGTACTTACGAACTTGTGTGCAATTTTACATTATTTTATGATACTAATTTTGTGAAAGTTTCCTATCTCAAATTTGTTTCAATTTCAATATCTCTCTAATATTTCACAGAAACCTTTACATAATATTTGGTTTATAAAATATTCTGACTCAGCTGTTAAATACTCAGATACTAACTCAAAATTTTAAATAAAGATTCAAAGAAAAATATTTAAAGTATTTCTAATGTTATTGGTTTATAAAAAAATATATTGTCTATAAAATGCAAGAATGTAAGTTAGGGTAAAAATAAATTTTGGGGTAGAAATATTTTTTGTATTTTATTAAATAAAACATATAAATTAAGATCACACAACTATCTCAATAACTTAAATGATTTGCTTAAAAGTAATCATTATACCTTCCTTTTTCTTGTTTTTTGTTAAAGTAACTTTGAAGGTTTGTGAATCTTCACCACTGCTGTTTGTAAGGACTCGACGTTTAATTTCCTAAGAAGAAAAGGGATAGTTCTAATAAAAAAAAAGTTCATGAACAAATATACATTATCAATTCATCAACATGACAGGGTAAGTTTAGTTATTACACAGTGTATAAACTTAGTTGCTTTTTATATTTTGTACAGAACAAATTTGTTTTCATGGGGAAAGTCCAAAACCAAATATTATTTTGAGTGAAGTTTCTAACATACATTATTAAATTATGTTATACTTTATAATTAAAAAATTTATATTCTATATAAAAATTATGGTTTCAACTGCTTTTTGCTCTTCCACATGCTATGTAAGAATATGTGACAATATACAAAAACAACCTTCTGGTATATTATTTACAATGGTATAAAACAAATCCATTACTGTTTTGTTTAAACTAGTTTTGTCAGAATACGCAATATCTACATACCAAATTGACAACACTCCCACTTTCTCTGAGGACCTGAACTGCTGTTGAATAATCCACATTTTCTAGTGAAATTCCATTCACACTTACAACTCTATCATTAACTCTGAAATCAGTCAAAATATTTAATTAGTTTGTTGACAGAGATTAATGAAACAATCTTTCAAAACCAAAAACTCCAAATTTCAATTTACTTTTGATTTATTATCCCAGTTTTCATTATGAAAGCCTATAATTATCATTTTGGTCTGTTCTGTACGAATAAACACTTGTTATTCCAATCTTTGTTCCCCTTAGTTTTCACCACATGAAATATAAAAATATATAAATAATAAATTCAAGTTAATTACCCTACATAAAAATATAAATGTCTTATCAATCTTGATAAAGTATGTTATTAGATTTTTATACATTTCACTACTCAAGAAAAATAATGATTGTAAAAACATAAATGTAGTGAACATTTATTTCGTTTATTTAGAAAAACTACAATAACTCTATACATAAAAAAGATGAACATCTTGAATACTAAATCAAAGCAAAATTAACCAAACTAAGCCTTGTTCATCTTCAAGATACAATTTATAGTGTCAATAGTGTCTTGTTTTAAGATTTAATTTCCTTACTCGTTGCAACAGGATTACTAAATGTGAAATACTTACTATATTATGTGATGTAGTTATGAACTCAAGGCATGCTGGTTATCTTGTTACTGTTGACTGTGCTAAGTGTTTTGATTTGCAAAGATGCTGCCTGATCACCAATTCATGTGATGAATTAGACTTAATTTATTTTTGTACGTAAATGATTCAGCATCAATTTATTATTTATATCAACTTGAATATTGTGATTATATTTTCTCTTTAGATTGTTGGTTGCTTTTATCATTCGAAACTTTCTGCTAGGGACACTTGTGTTAAGAGCTGTTACAAAGGTAAAAAAAATATGGTTGCCTGAGTGTCTATGTTATTATATGTACTTTGGAGTGTAACGTTTTATTACTTTTTGTGTCATTAGAGTTAACCTCCCCGAATGTTTAGTGAAATATGCAACAAGAGAGTGGTTACATCCTGTAGTGCTTATGGTCTGCTTTATAAGATTTTGACTGATCGTAAACTTCACTTTTACTACTGTGCTTACTAGCTATGAAATTCTGATACTTCTCAAGAAAGTGTTTACAATAACATTACCTATTGTTATTATCTATTCCAACTTTCTTAAAATAACTATAAGTGTTTTCATTTAAACAATTATGTCTATTTGAATGAAAGAGATTTAAATATAGACAAAATCCAACACTATAATATATATACTTTAATTTGAAGAAACTACATCAAGTATACTTTAAATACTGATTCATTTGTGAAAAAACAAGTGTTTTTGTTTATAATTTATCAACAAATGCTCTTACTGTAGCTTCCCTTCTGCTGGTCCAGCCTTTAACACATCTGATATCGCAATAGATGGTTCTCCATTAGCAAAATGTGGATTGTCTCGACCACCACTGACAGCTATTCCAAAACCATAGCCAGGAACCTAAAAGATTCATTACCAAATCTAAAGCACATTTAGTGAAACAGTTACGATATGTTAACATAATCAGTCCATTTTCCTAAATAGCTTTCTATTTTAACCTCAAAGAATATTTAAAATATATTTCAAAAAAAAACAAACTTTCTTTCATGAATCATCAACAACTATTAAGTAGAGGGAAGATAGTTTAATCACATTTATTGGAAATTTTATAAAAAAAAAAAAACTAATCACGGATTAATCATGATAATTAACTGCTTATTTTAACATGTTGTAAATTGCTACAAACTAAAAGGCAATGACCTGTTCTACTTACACGGTTGATTGTAACACTGTGATTTTCCCATGTTACACGCTCTCCACTCTAAAAAAAATAAATGAGAAAAATGTTAAACAGATACCTATATATTTAAAAACAAAACCCAGATGTGATAAATACTGCTTACACCTTTATACTGTACATCTTACATTTTATGGTACTTAAGATAATGTTTCAACAAATCTTATTCAACTATATTATGTGGTTTAATTTTATTTAGTTAAGCTTCCTTGTTCTGTTTGATTGAAGTTAACACAATTATAAAAACTTTTATAATTTCATTTCACCAACACAGTATTAATACTACTTACACTACAGAACCTTGTGATGGCCTATATTCCTTATGGTCACTAAGGTTACAATTGTGTACGCTATGCATACTCAACACATTCAAATTAATCTTATTTAACACCCATTACTGAGAAGTCAAGCACACTAAGTGAAATGATACCTATTGTTTTAATTCAGCTGTTTTATTATGCAGAAAAGAGTTTGATTTAAATGTGGAGCAGAGTATTTATGTCACCATTACAAACCATGGAAATCAGTATATAGAATATTATGAGCCACATGTGGCAGAAAAATAATACCATTTATTGTTTGTTCTTATAAATACTCATTATATTACCAGTGAATATATATATTCGTGAGTGAAGACAATATACTGAAAGTTAATCACACTTATTAACAATGATATTTCAGGTCTTGTGCTTTCTTGGAACTATTTCCACCATCATCAGTTTGGCTGAATTTGATACAACCATGGTCAGACAATACTGTTCAACTAACAAAGTAGGAGGACTTCTTCCACCACAAGAAATTTAAATCTCAGGAAAAGATCCAGAGTAATGACTTTAAAAAAATTGGATTATCTATCATCAGAGAAGAATACAACTGTTCACCTTAACCTGGAAGATTAAATAATGTAATTGATACTTGAAAATTATTAAATAATTTGTATAGATTCCTTCAACTTCTACAGAGGGCAAAGATACAGTTGTGACTGTGAGCTGGAGTACTAGCACTGGGAACAGACTGTCCAGGTGGGCAGATTATGCTCTCATCCAAAGTTGGGAATGTCTTATTCAAATTCAGAATAGGACCATATGTGGATAAAGCCAAAACTAGAAGAGAGACCTGTCAAGCCTGCAAAGAACAAAGTTCACTTCCTGCATTGAATTGTGGAGTATCAGTAGCCCAATAAAACGTACTGGTTTTCTCAAACCAAACTGGCTATATGGAGTAACTAATAGGGTATTCAGAAGTGACAATGAGGAAGACTAACTGTCCATTGAAACCAGGAAATTTTCTTTCCTTCCAGTGAGTAGCCAAGAAGAATATGGATAGATCTCTTGGAAGTTTTTTTTTAACCTCTTCTATTTTTACAAGAAAGGATGTTAATAGCATTTTTGATCCTGATGGAATTAACCTAAATCACATAGATATTAAGATAATATACAAGGATGAGACAAAGTTTCGCCCAGAGTTTGAAAGGAGGTCAAAGATCAGATTATTTGAGAAGGTCAAGGTGCACATTACAACATGTTTTTACAGAGTTGCACACAAAATTCAATTAAACTACTTTATTATCATCGTATATATACGCTTGCCATGAAAACATATTTTATAATTCAAGTTTTACCCTAGATAAACAAGAGACTAAGACACTTGGTCCTTTCAGCTCAGACTTAACACGGTAGAATTGGATGCTGTTGATTAAATGCTCTGATTTTTATAATATACTATTTTTCATTCTCCAATTACAGAAGACTTTGTGTTTATTTGTTTGGAGTTGAGCATAAAGATACACATTGGATTATCAGTGCTGTGCCCACCACGTTTTTGGAATTATTAGCCTTCAGACTTGCCGCTGTGCCACTATGGGCTTACTGAAGAGAATAATGTTGTTAAGAAATAAAAAAAATACTGACCAGTGTGTGACTATGAGTTAAATTACACAACATACATTTGCTCAAGTTTAACATCCTGTGAATGGGTATTAATTTCTTGAGTGACCTTGATAACCACCGCCTAGTAATCTGACAAATAAAAGTGTGGTCACTTAGTATCTTTAAAAAATTTTTATGGTTTAAAACAATTTTTTCACATGACCTAATGACGCTCACGTATATCCGTCGTCTGAAAACGATCGCTGGGTAATTAACTATCAATCATCAGTCATTGACGAGTTATAGACGACAAAAAATGAATACACTGAAAAAAGTATCTAAAAAAACCTATGATAACGAAGATCGGCAGCAATGATAACTAATCTAACAGTTGGAGCCATTGAATATAACTGATTGGCTTAATCGGTGATAGGATCAAAATTTTTCCCATCAGGCCCTAACAACAAAGTTACATAACTAGGCCAACCACACATACTTGTCAACTATCATTTTAAAATTAAAAATATAACGACGTTATATAACGCTCTATTATTTCATAAATTCAAAACGACCTATAATAGTGTACAATTGCATTGACAGAGGAAGCAGGAGAGGTGATCTAAATATTTCAAGATGGAAATTTTAAAGTAATTTTTTTCCCCCACTCATTCATTAATTCATACGCATACCAAATATTTTGTAAGAAATTACTATTTGGGTTCAAATATTAAGGGAGGGAGTTTTCTTGGTGTATGTTCAAATTTAAGCGAATCTTTAAAAACAATAAATAACTTATGGGTGTGTGCACCAACACTAACGATTGCCGAAACTCGCCTTGTTATACGTCATGACTTGGAAACCACACCATATCCGACCCCTCGAATGTATTCTGTCTTTTTCTTTGTCCTATCTCAAGGTGTTCACACTTTCTGTTAAACAACTAAAAATCAATAAAGGCTAACAGCCGTTCTAAAGAAAAAGGCCAGTACAATAATAAAGTTTGTTTTTTATTTTTGCTTAACTTTTAAACACTCGGTCATAGAACATGCAAAATACTAAAAAAAAGAAAAAAAAAGAAAGTGCATGACATGACATTCGAGCTGTAAAAACGCGCTCCGTACTTTGAGGTCGTGGTGTGCTATTGGAGTGGCATTCAATTCCTACAATTCGGTCAGACTGTAATAGCCTAAGAGATAACAGTGAGTTTTGTTGACTAGCAGCTTTTCCCCTAGTCTGTCAGTTCAAAATTAGGAATAGATAGAAATAGATATCCCTTGCATACCTATGCACAAAAATCTGATGAAGTAATACACAAACACATACACACAAAATCAATAATAAATAAGTGACAATGTTTTTCCTGTAGCCTAATCAGGCAGCGAGGAGGATAGGAAGATGAAGCAAACTTCTTTCAATATTAGCGTATAACTTCAAAGAGACTTGTTGCATCCTTTCAACTCTTTCGCGACCCACAATTTAAGAGCACCTGATCTACTTTGTTGAGAGTTTTATAATTACTGTATATTATAATTGAAATATAATATGAATAATTTAATGATGTTAAACTACGATTTTTAGAACCGTAAATGTATTAGAAATTTATTAATAGCTTTTTCATATGGAATTTTATACTATTTGTAGGTTACAGTATTTTCTTCATAAATATTGATCAAACTAGGCTTAATATAACATGGTTTACACAACAAGATAGTTGTAAAATTTACTTTGGCAAATGAAAACATGGCAACGTTACTCCAGATTAAAACGTTTTCAAACAATAAGGTACCACTGTTGTGTATTCAAGCAAACGTACAACGTTTGGTAAAATCAACTGAATTACGCCTATACTCAAATCCTTATAACAATTTCAATAATTATACACCCTTTCCGTCCCTACTACTGTTTCTTTACCTTGAAGTACTTTATCTTTAATTATTGCAATGTTTTTGTGTGTCCCATTACTCCCATTCCTCGGCCTCTCGGTGGCTCAGAGGTCGGCTTAAGAGCTTATAACTTTAAAATCTAGGGTTCATTCTCTGCATGGGCATGGCACAGATAATCTATGTATAGCTTTTGCTTACCAAGAAATAAGAAAACATTTCTCGTGGAATATATTCAAAATTTGTGATTCACCTGCAACACATTAACTTGGTAATCGATATTAAACAATATATTAATAGAAGAAAAAAAACACGTTCTATACAGCTATCCTTTACGTCATCAATATGAGGACTACAGCCGTGTACGTTCTAAATTGTACGTAAAATCACTGTTATAACATAACACGATTATTTACCAACGCTTCATATTTTAAAAAAGAACATTTACAGGAAACTAGATAATGCACAACAGTTAACTCCATCCGCGAAACTTCCGGTCACATGCATGTAAGGCATATTAAATAATGTTCGAAATTATTATATTCCTGTCTTTAATTGTATACCACACACATCTTATTATTATTGGTGCTGTCATGTTATTAAAGGTTTTTGTTTTTAAATTTTGTATTAAATTTACATTTATATTTTAAACGCATATCATCTGTGAATTTTCTCGAGTTTCAAGTTCTTGATTTGTTTATTTCTGTTGAATTCTTTTTCGAACAAGGCTACACCAGGACTATTGCGTCAGCTGTCTTTACTTTTGAAGTGATAGGTTTTACAGAATAAAGCTAGTCAACGTTATCCACCGCCAACTGTTAGGCTACTCTTTATTAACGAATAGTGGGGGTTGACCGTTACATTATAACACCCCTACGGCTAAAGGAGGCGAGCATGTTAGTTGACGGGATTCGATCCAACGACCCGCGAGTTGCGAATCGAGTGCCCCAATCGCCATGTTGTGCAGGCCGAAAAGCCAAATGATATAATGTTTATTATCAAGGGCCTTTTCTGTTAGGAAATTTTTCATGACTAATCGTCGCGTAACGGTAATCTTTTATTTAGTGTTTAATGATGATGACGCTTCAGTTGTTCACACATCACGAGACTTCACCAGTTAATTATTAGAATATCGAGAATTTCTTCCTTCTTTTTACGTTTAATTTCCTTTACACATTTTCCTATAAACTGCTAGAATACGAGTAATCTTATCTGAAAAAGTAATGGTTGTTATATTTTTCTATCCTAAATTTAACTTCTTATTCATGTTGCTTTGGTTTTTGCACAATATACTACTGTATGAATGACTCATTCCTTCCTTTTACAAAAAGTAAAATGTAGCTATGACAGTCTCAGATAAGTGATGTTGATTAAAAAAAGTATGTGCTAACAGACCGATAAGCCACCTACCCATCTTCCAGCGGACTATATATTCTTGGAACCAGGGATCAAATATTTCCTTTATCAAACAGTACTAATATTCATGCCCCCCCCCCCAGTGGCACAGCGGCATGTCTGCGGATTTACAACGCTAGAAACCGGGTTACGATACCCGTGGTGGGCAGAGCATAGATAGCCCATTGTGTAGCTTTGTGCTTAACTTCAAACAAACAAATATCCATTACCTATCGGTAAAGTAATACAACGTAACATATAATAGTGGATTTTTTTTTCATTTTGAGTTATTTATTTTACTTAAATAAATAATTCCATTAATTATTATCTGGTCAGGTAATAACGTCACGCAAACTGGTTAAGTTCTATCAATAGGATGTCATCAGGTTAAATATCGACGTCATTTTTTTGTGAGTTATGTATTTTTATAGAATTATTCATATTTGTTAACTTTACGTAATACGTATATGTACTGTCATTAATCTCTCGATATATCTAAAATGCCAATTTCTTTTGTGTTCAAAACTTCATTGGACTAATGATCCATGAATGGCTAAAATTACCGTCCTCAGCTGACCACGCTACAGTAGAATAGCTGTTTTACATAGAATATACATACGTGCAACGACCTTGAAACTAAAACACGAGAGCCAATATTACCGATTATGTGCTAGATTTATCGAATATTTGCAATTACAATCAGGGCTGACGAGAGGAGGGGGGGGGGGTAACTGCCCAGGGGCCCGGCAGTGAAACATTCCAAAGCTCACTAGAAATGTATACAACTTAACGAGCTAATATGGCTACTTCTTTTTTATGGATTCATGAAGAAATTGGTCACCTAATTTCTTTTTATGAAAAATCAGCAAAAGTTAATAAATAGAATGAAGGGGGGGGGGACGATGATATTACTGATTCCGGGGCTTGGGCTGGCTTTCGACGCCCGAGATTACAATTCTTTTTCATTCTTCTTCCTGATACAAACATACACAAATGACATTACAAAGATATAATTCATTTGATTATAACAGGACATTTTCTCGTATCTTCTCAACTGGAATAAATCACTATATTAAATATAAAAACGTTACACTATGGTCTGTCCATTCTTCTTAACATTTCTCTAAATGTGTGTGTGTGAGTGTGTGTGTGTGTATGTGCTATCATTCTGTCCGGTAGTCCTTCAACTGTTTTCTGAATTTTCATGGCAATTCAAAAAACAAAACTTAATAAACTGATTGGTCTAGCGGATAGAATCAACGGGTACATATAACCAAACTTTAACTTATCAACCTTATTTCTATACATTCAAGCACAGTTATATTAACAGCTTTACTTAACATTTCACAGGTTGTTACAGGAACAGCTGAATAAATTTCAGTGAAAATTAAAAGCAACTGTTTATTTACTAAATGCAGCCAATGCGCACGCATACAGATCAATAGATATGTTGTTGTTTGTGTTTTTTTTTTTTTTTGGGGGGGGGGGTATTCCTAATTCTGAAGTGATTGACTTAAGGGAAAGAAGCTAGTCAACAACACCTAATTCTTGAGCTAATCTATTCTAATAGTGGGATTTAACCATCATTCTTATAACGCACTAATGACCCCAAAGTGCGAAGCGCGATTTTGTGGTAACGAAACTCAAACAGTTTACCTTCGGGCTCAGAGTGCCAAACCTGACCAACAGAAATGTCAATAATGTATATGAAATTGCGTTGGCAAACGTTCGAATTTTACATGTGCCATATAATGTCTCACGAAAAGCATAGAATCAACGTAATTCTTCAAAAATAGCCATCGTTCACGCTGGTTAACAATCTTGAATAAAACTTTTTAATTTTGACGCAAGAAATTGCATAAAATGATATATGTACATATATGCATCGTAGATGACATTTTCTTTCACCCAATTATGAATCAATAATTTAACAAAACCGATACCAAACTCTGGTTACAGAACAACGACAAATCATTGCTACTAACAGACAAACTGCATTATGATAATATGCAGAAATAAATATCAGCACCTTTCTAGTAGTAAATACTCTATAACAGTGTCCAATGAACTTATGTAGACGTTGCTGGAAGTTTCTATTTGCTGCTGTGTATTGAAAATTATATAAAAAAAGAGTCATTTTATGGAAAGAATACGTGTTTTGCATCACGACAGCTAGAAAATGACGCTTAAAAATTAAGTTAGATTGAACTTAATGAACAGGTAAAATGCTGTTACATAAATATTAAAACACGAAAAAAATTCTGATGAGTATCTACTTCAGCTTCTAACTTGTTTGTTTGTTTTGAATTTCGCGCAAAGCTACATGAAGGCTATCTGCGCTAGCCGTCCCTAATTTAGCAGTGTAAGACAAGAGAAAAGGCAGCTAGTCATCACCACCCACCGCCAACTCTTGGGCTACTCTTTTAGCAACGAATAATGGGATTGACCGTCACATTATAACGCCCCCACGGCTGAAAGGGCGAGCATATGTGGTGGGACGGGGATTCGAACCCGCGGCCCTCAGTCGAACCCGCAAGTCGCGCGCCCTAACCAACTGGCCATGCCGGGCCTGGCTTCTAACTTAAGCCATCAATAAAAGCAATGTTTATATCGTTCCTCCACAAAATGCTTTTTTTGCCCTTACAATTAATAGACTACAGGCTCTGGGCAACATAATTCAAGCTTGTTCACTATTTTAACACATATTTAGCAGCAACTACTAAATTTTGCTATGGTATAATATAAAGATTCATAAGTTTTTGCACCTTTAGGCTCACTTAGTTATTTGGCACAATAGTAAAGGCCCATATTGTAGTTATGACTATCTAAATCAGTGGTTCTCAAAGTGTTGTCCGCGGCCCACTGGTGATGCACTAGGGTCTTCCAGGTACTTCGCTGGCTGGTCTAAAATGCAAGTCACTGACGAGAAACGCTACGGCCGAGGTCATAAGAGAACAAAACAGGTGGGGTAGGACCGGTAGGTGGTCAGTGGGGTCTTTTGCCCCGCCGAATTGGTCTGCGGACGAAAAAATTTTAGAACCGCTGCTTTAGATTAGGGCAGTCACAATTGTCTTGACCCGCAGCGGCCCATAACTGCGCCACTCAAGGCCCACCGGTTGAGAATGACTCTGTTACGTCTCCCTTCGTTAATTAACTTTCTGTAACTTCGTTCCGACGAAACTTTAGCGACACAAATCCTTACTTAATAAAACTGGTTTATTATTTCCGAATACAACTTTACGATACACTTATTTTCAACAATCACGCTAAAACAAACGCTATATCAACGAACGTCAACAATACTTCTGACTGTAGTTCAATTACTCACTATCTACACACACATTATCCTCCCGTCACGTTGTCACCCTCTTTTATATACCAGGCTACCCTATATCTAGTAAATACTAGAACATTCGCCAAGGTACAAGATAGTTCTATAAAATAGGTGGCGCCACACCAGTCACGTGACCTCGATGACGCAACAACTCTTTTAATAGATAATGATTTAACATTGTCTACGATCTCTGTAAATACACATTCTGGCATGCGCAAAGAAACACAGTAGAAATCTTGGTTCATGTTGGGGAAGGCGTCTTGGGTTCTCCAATAAATAAATATGATCCATTAAAAACATCAAACGCTATAAATCAAGTTTTAAAATACCTACCCTCCAAGAAAAGTGCATAAGTTATACTGATATTATTCCAGTTAGATATTGTATTCATAAAATTAATAACGAGTTTACAACCTACAAAGTCTCTGCCTCTTCTTGTCCAATGACGATTATCGGTTTCCAGTCTCTGATATTACTGAAGCGTGCACGCTGTTAAAACATATATTGTTAACCTGATGGAACAATGAACTGAGGAAATCCTAGTGAACTGAACTGATTCTAATGAAGAAAAATATAATCTGATTAATTAGTACTAAAGATATCAAATACCGTGTATTGCTGTCTATCATGTTCTTAGAATCCTTATCTTTATGCATGGGTATAACAATTTAGTTAATAATCATTTTATCTTCGATACTCATAATATCGTGCTTAAACGTTAAAGACTAATGTGAAAGATGCATACATAACGTGTAATAATACGACCAGAACTAAACATGTACTCGTGGCTTCCTTCAACGGACATGTTGCAACACGTTTAATAACCGTACAAGTTGCGTTGTTCTTTCCATGGCTGAGCGTTGTAACTTTTGTACTGATAGAACTATCTTTTGGCTTATACTAAATCATCATTATGAACGTTGATCTCAAACAAATCCTAATATTAAAAGCAAACAAATGGTCATTTTTTACCCAAAATATATAAAAAAGTCAAAACCTCTTCATCATACTTATTCGAGTTTTTTCAAAAAATATGATGAAATAACTACTAAACATGCATTGAAACATACTGCTTCAGCTTACATAAAATAACCTCACGAACAATAAAATCCAGTATACAATAAGCTCTACATACCTTTTGTAAAATTTTCATTTTCACAAAATAGAAACTAAAACGTAAGAAATTTCCAACGCGTTGCTTCCTCTAACAGTTTCGAAGAAAACAAGAATAAGCACAATCTATACAGCTTTCTATATACAAACACAGAAGTCATGTAGCATGTTTTCCCAGACTCGCGATACACTCAAGAAGTGAACACATCTCAAGAGCACGTGAACTAGTAAGCACGAGGGTACCGTAATAACCAATCATCGAACTGGAGGTTGTTACCATGACAGCAAACTACTAGGTTAAAAAAGATTAAACATTTCTGGTCATAACCATAATCTCCGAACAACATCTGTTGTTCCCAAATCAGTTATAATGATTTACCCATATTCTTTTGTGATAAAGTGTTCATTTATTGTTCATCCAGAACGCGCGACATAGAAAAATAAAAAAGGCGTAAAATAACTCCACTTTCCACTAATATGTTTACGAGAATGAAAAAAGAACGTACTTACAGAAAATAGCCATTACTATTTAATATACTAGTGGTATGTCAAGTCAGTACAATTCACCTCTTCTACGTGTGAGTAAAATTGGGAATTTTTTTAAAGAATGTGTATTTGGACAAAGGAGAAAATACTTGAAATGTATTTTTAATGGACTGCATCTGTTTGTTTGTTTGTTTTTGAATTTCGCGCAAAGCTACATGAGGGATATCTGCGCTAACCGTCCCTAATTTAGCAGTGTCAGACTATAGGGAAGGCAGCTAGTCATCACCACCCACCGCCAACTCTTGGGTTACTCTTTTACCAACGAATAGTGGGATTGACCATCACATAATAACGCCCCCACGGCTGAAAGGGCGAGCATGTTTGGTGGGACGGGGATTCGAACCCGCAATCTTCAGATTGCGAGTCGAGTGCCTTATCCACCTGGCCATGCCGGGCCTGACTGCATCTGTCTAGGAAGTTTGGACGACGTTTCGGGTTGCTAGCGTTTTCAAGTAAAATTGAGACTTTTTACAATAAATTATGAAAATATTTTATATGTTTTCTTGTGTTTTTTTTAAGGTAAAGGAATGCTGGATGTCATTGTTTGTAGTCATAATAAAACGAGATAATTTTGAAAAGTAATGATTTTATATCTATTTTATAAAAGATAGCTACTGGTGCTGAGCCAGTTTCATTCAAGATGTTAAGTTGGAGTTTTACTGTTTATATGTAATTATTTCTATGCATTACTTTCAGTATTTTTGTCAACTTTTCCGTCTTTACATCACTCTTCATACCTGGTTCCGTTATGCAATACGAAACAGGTATTAACCAAAACTACCGAAATCATTTCACAAAATATTCCATTGTTAAATCACTTGATATACGTGTTTGTGTACTGGTCTGTGAACTTCGAGCGTATTGTTCTACTCCTAAATATTTTGAACGTTTGTAAAATTATAAAAACAAGAAAATCTTCCAAACTGACACCAGGTGTTAGACACAAACCTAGGTACACATAAAGAGCCGACATGTCGGCGTCTAAATATTATGACTGACAGGGGGCCACATACCTAGAATGCCTTCAGGTATAGGTGTTTCCAGTTCGTTATTTTTTTTATAACACGATTAAATGCATAGGTAGATAATAAGTTTAAACTTCTCTAGGCTTGTGATGTGTTATCACGTTGAAGGAAGTTAACACATATTTTCTGGACAAGGTCGAGTCAAGTCGAAGTATGTGTTTGTTTTGTTGTATTTTGCAGAATCAAGAGAACATTTCATAAAGATAAAAGTTACAAACTGTAACTATAACGAAATTATGCATTTTTTATTAAGCGTCTTAAGTTGTACGTCAAACCTCATATTTTAGTTTGTGTGGACAGCGAACCGGGACATTTTATTAAGCCCCTCCCCCCAGTGTTAAAACACTTGTTTGCACATACTGCACAACTTTTTTGTATTTTTTTTTATATTGGCGGTAAATTGAGAATATGGAGACTATGTAACATACTTACACTACTTATATTGTTCTGACAGTGTAAGCTGTTGATGATGGTGTAATTGTGTGTGGAACGTTCTCGCAGAAGAGTTGATTTTTTTATTATCCTTTATAAGCCCCCCCCCCCTTAGTGGCTCGCGGTAAGTCTGTAGGCTTTGCGACGCTAAAAATCGGGTTTCGATACCCGTGGTGGGAAGAGCATAGATAGACTATTAACAACAACCAACAACTTTTACAATTGACAGTATTTCTGATGCCGATTATGACAACTTTACAAACCTATATTTCCACCACTACGGACAATAATTTTTCTAAGATGAAAATTCAACAATATACGATGCTTGTATTGTCCAAAAATGGTTCAGAAATCATGGCAACGACTTCACTTATCTTTCTTGCCCAACACAGTCACTGGACCTCAATCTCTTTTAACATCTGTGAGATATCATACAGTCTTGGCCAAAATGTTTGCATACTGTTTTATATTGATTTATTGTTCACATGCATGAAGTAGTTATTGAGTAACTGCCCGAGTAGTAACAGAAAAGGTAGCGTATGATCGGACAAACATGTACGAGTTGTTATTCTGATCTGTACATTTGTATAAAAGAGTTTGCTTTTGGTATATTCTTTTTCGAAACAGATCAAAGCTTTGTTCAGACAATTTCTCTGCACTTGGTGTAGAGTCATGCTTCGTCACGTATCAGAGGTTATTGGGCGTCAAATTGTTCGACTGTCCAGGAATGGTAAGAAGCAAACGGACATTGTCAGAACAGAAGGATACCCCTAGTGTACTGTATCCAGAATTCTGAAACGTCATCGGACTACAGGAAATGTTGTTCCAGGAAAATATACTGGTAGACGTCGAAAAACTACTGCCCGAGATGACCATATTTTGGTCAGGTTAACATGTCAAGGTCGAAAAAAGTATTGCAACACCTTACGATAGGAATGCCATGAACACATTCATTCCAAAATATCCAGAAGAACAGTGAATAGGAGACTGATCGTTATTTTGCAAGAAGGGCTATCTGCATACCGATATTAACCAGAATTCACCACCGTCACCGTGTTACTTGGACAAGTCAACACGTCAACTTACAGCTAGGAAGGCCACTGGCGACATGTCATCTTTTCAGATGAGCCCTGTTTCCAGCTTGTTAAAGCTGATGGTAGGATTCGTGCTCGTATTGTACAGGATTATATCGACCAGAAGGACGTTAAAAGATTGCCATGGCCAGCAAAGTATCCAGATTGTAATCCAATTGAGAATTGTTGGGCAGAAATGAGCCGGAAAATTGCTAACCATGCTTAATATGAACTGATATAAAGTTACAGACGCTATTTATAATAATTTTATGTTATATTTTGTCATTATATATGTTTTAGTAAGGTTTTGTTGTGATTGGTGAAATGCTGAATCACACATCTTTCTACATATGTCTGATATAATTGTTTGCTGTTCTAATAAATCGTCCATGATGTCCATTAAACCTGTCTCATTATACAAATTATGTACATAGATGTTTGATACAATATGGAATTCTCAATTTGACAGCGCTAAGTGTATTTGTATTCCATCTTAATAATAATGATCTTATTTGTTACAAAATATGCAAACATTTTGGCTAAGATTGTATTAGCCACAGTAATCCTATGTCGACATCTGTAAGCCAACTGCAGGTCAAACTCTTCTAGTATAGGTTACACACTGGATGAAGCACCTGCTGGTATCTATACCAATCGAATCCATGTTATTATCGTAGAGAAAGTGGGTCAAACCCTATATTATGTGTGTTG